GTAGGTTATTTCAGTAATCCAAATTGAACTCTGAAAGGCTGGCTGATTGTTTCGGGTAACTGATAAACAGCAGTAACCGACAGCGTTTTCGGTCGTCATTTTTCATAGTTTTAAACAACTTGAAGAGATGTATACACACAGCGAAACTGTATTTCGTGTTAACGTCGAGAGATACTTTCTTTTTTCTTTGCTTGATCACTTTATTCATCCATACCTCCTTTACCGCGGGAACCTTCAATCAACAGCAAAGTTAATTTCACTGTTTTGCGCTGCGCGATCAATATAGGGATGATGGTTTACGTTTGCTCCAAAGGACGTCTGCTACTGTCGTATAGCATCTGAAACAGACTGCATAACCGCATACTTTTTCACGAACGAATAAAGCTTAATTCGTATCCATGTCTATTCGTCACACTTGAGAATCTCAAGGTAAGGTACAATTTTAAGGTTGTCACTACTACTACTTTTACAATAGCCGTTGACACGAGTACAAATACATCTGTAACACTGACGATACTTAATCACCAAATCTCGACTCACGCATATACATCTGTTGTAAACACCTCGTCCCCTGTAGTGTTACACAAATAGTCATCTTTTTTGTATCCAAAAGCGTTTTCGGGAATTACGACAGTTTTTCACTTTCACCATCCGTTTATGTCAGACTTGTTCAATAAAAGAACAATCTTCGATAGATTCGTATGTAACGGGTCTTTTCTGACGCACCTTTTTTACTCCACAGATCGGTACTGACATGGCCATTGCCTGGGTTGATGTAGATCCGACAGAAGGGAAGGCTATCGTTCGGTTCAAGCAACCAGACACGGCTGCAAAAGCCTGGGAAAAATTGACTAAAGCCTTCGAGGAGAAACCTGTGGTGTATTCTAATTGTACACTAACAGGACGTGTACTGTCTGGTGAGTTTTTCATTCTGTGATGAGGTGATTCATATGTATGTATATCCGAGGTGACATTTTAAAATGATACTTCCGGGAACCGGAGAATGTTGTGGATTTAGTTAACTAATAAACCTCCACCAACACACTGACCTGAGTATTTTGCCTGCGACAAATCGTGGTAGTGATTCTATGATAATGTCACCAAGTCATCACCCCGGAGGACGTGTGTTCGAATCCAACTACACCGCCTGATTTTCCTATTGTGCTTTACGGAAGCCCTCTTATTACCGCTTCCTCACTGAAAACTGTATCATTCTCTATTCAATAAAATGAAGTAAAACTGAAGAAGAAATTGAATAGCACATAAAAGTCTACGAACGATGATTTGGCGTTGACAAACCTTGATTTCTCACAGCCGTTGGGCTGATTAGACAATCAGTCATTCCTGAGGCGGATCTTGGTTGGTGTTACCGTCTTGGTGGATAGCTCAAAACGTGGATAAGCAAGTGTGAGAAACAGCTGTTCGACGTACAGGGCCCAAAAACTGAAAGAAAACAACGCGTTGAATTGTTCTCAAAAATCCGAGTATCGGTGTCCACCTCACGAACTCACCTGGCTCCGAAAAGTTGGAACATTGAACCCGCTTTATTTAATTCGATAGACCTGCGTAGTATTAACATTTCTTTCAGTCCTCTTTGTCGCTACAACCCGAAACGATCTAGTATTCATACAAGAAAGTTTCGGTGACCACCGTGGTTCTATGGACAACAATCAGGGAAGCGGTGGTGAAGGGATCACTGTAGTTCTCAAAGCATTCTTGCTTATACAAAAGATCGTTTTGCATTGCAGTGACTAAAGAGCTTGTAATGAATCAAAAAGTTGCCCAAACTGATCACAGTAGAACTACTAATCGCGTCGTAGCAACAAGAGTCACGCTTACTAGATCAAGCCAACCTGGCCTTCGCCATGGCTGTTTTGGGCAGCTAATTACCTATCGGATCCCGGAACATCACCTAAGGCTCCAGCAATCAGCGACACCCCTCATTGACTTCCGCCTCAGATTCCGCAAACCGAACTTCGCTAAGAAACATCAGAGGAACTCGTGAGAAATTCGGACATTCAATCCATAGACCGCGGCTACAGAATTTCTTTCGAACTCCGGAGTTTTTGACTATTATTATTGTTATTATTATTATACAACACGGACCCAATTAAAGAGAACTGGCAAATGTGCCACAACGTAAAAACAGAAAGAAATTTGAAGGTGATCATAAGTTGTGTGGGCATGTTACTTCTCGGTCGCCCTGGCCGAGGAAGGGGAGACAATTTCGGGGTTCTCACTCGGAGCCTTCGACTAAAAAACCGAACCTACAACACAATGGGACGGAGCTGAGAGTTCGGTGTCCAGTTCACTGGATCATACGCCCTTTACATGGGGTCAAACGTCCAAGCTGCCCAACGCACCTCGATGCTCAATTGTGCCGGTGACCACTGCCGCGACCAGGAAGGTGTTCGTGTGGTTCTTACGCCTCTTCTTGGTGGGTTTGGAATCAGGGTTTTTAGCCATCTCCCTTGGGTGAACTGCCAATGGTTCACCAACCCGTTTATAGACCCGGATGTCGGTTTTTCGTCCTCACTTTGGTGGGGAAGCACCTCCGCCGCTAGAAGTCAGTGAGTAGGGCTTCCTCAGCGGAGGCTATTTGAGACGCTTGGTCATAATGGAGCATTTCGTGAGGTGTACGGAAATGGTGTGCAGCCCTAGTCCTAGATAGCTACCCCCTACCATAATGGGGCTTTCTGAGACTCTAAAGAAATGAGGCCAGAAACTGGATAAAGTAGGTTATTTCAGTAATCCAAATTGAACTCTGAAAGGCTG